TGACATTTAGTACTCTGCAGTCCTCTTTATGGGTGATCACCCTGATAATCTTCTGTTGCAACCACAGTGAGTCCTAATTTCTTCCTTCGTAAGGGTTGCTAATAACACTCAGGTGGATACGATATAGTTCTAATGAATTCTGTACACCTGCTTCCTCAGGTACATCAACCTGCCTTTAACCACTGTTTCCAGTTGCAACATTAAACATGTTAATTTGGGAATTTAAAAAATAATGTTTAAGCATAAGATTAATCTAATATTTCATTATTAAAGATAGGTAAGATCTATTTAATGCTTCTTTGATCTATGCTTCATCCTTGTGCACAATTTTAACACTTCATTAGTTTACTTCCTTTAGCTTTCTACTTACAGTGATTTGAAACAACCTTGCTTTTAGAGTCCTTTGCAAGAAGAACCTCAAGTTATTATTTTTTATGGACTTTTTCTGTTTTACAGACTTTTTCTGAAAAAATTATGGGTCTTTTTTTTTTTGTCTTTTAATCACAAAAATTCAGGAGTCTTCTTGAATGTGTACTCTACTTGGCTCCATGATTTAGTTGGTATTTTAAACTGGATCCACACTCAATATAATCATTTGATATACTTCAAACATAATCCAGTCACTTAGGGTCATTGTGCTATAAAATGTCCAAACTTACAGGTCTTTCTTGATATTCTTCAGCAGAAGGTTAGTAGAGACCAGCCGAGAAAATTAACATGTAATAAACGGTCAAATATGACTACAGCTGATTTTAGAAAATTTTTTTAATTGTTTATTGTTTTTCTGTTGCCATTCATGTTAGATTTCTTTGAGGTTTTAAACTCATGAAACAAAAAACATGATCATTTTTTGTTTGTCTGATGTAGGCATTTAGCCAGTATTTATTGAACATGTACTATGTGCCAGGCTTTTTTTCTAGCTTCAGGGTGTGGAAACAAATAAATAAACATAATATTTTAGGAGAACAAAAATAAAGTAAGGAGAGGGGAGGGAGAGAAGTAACAGGATGTTCAGAGAGAGCCTCCCCAAAGAGATGCATCTGAGCAGAGACCTGATAGAAGTGGGAGAGTGAGTGAGTGAGCCTTGCAGACATGGGACAGAGCAGTCCAGGAAGCATTCCTGGAAGAAGTGGCAGCAAATGCCAAGCCCCGAGGCTTCCCATGCTCCAGGGAAAGAAAAGAAGCCTGTGTGACTGGAATAGAGTGATTAATGCTGAGGGGTAGGAAATGAGATCGGAGAGAATAGGAATGATGGTCTCTTAGAGGACCTCTTGGCCATGGGAAGGAGCTTATATTTTCTTCCAGGTGGGATGAAAAGGTATTGGAGGAACCCAGATCAGGAAGTGACACATGATTTGATATATATGTTAAAAGATTACTTTAGTTACTAATTGTATTAGTTTTCTTATGCAGCATAACAAATTGCTACAAATTTAGTGGCTTTTATTTTTTTTAAAGATTTTATTTATTTATTTATTCATTTGTTTGTTTATTTATTTTATTTAGAGAGTGTGATCAGGGGGAGGGGCAGATGGAGAGGGAAAGAGAATCTTAAGCAGACTCCCCGTTTAGCACAGAGCCTGACACAGGGCTCCACTAGGGGCTCGATCTCATGACCCAGAGATCACGACCTGAACGGAAATCAAGAGTCAGACGCTTAACCGACTGAGCCACCCAGGTGCCCCAAATTTTGTGGCTTTTAAACACATTTATTATCTCATAGTTTCCATGGGTCAGGAGTCAGAGAGAATGGACTACTTAACTGGGTCTCTGCTTAAGGTCTCATAAGTCTAAAACCAAGATGCTAGCTGGGCTGTATGCTCATGTGCAGCCTAGGGTTTATGCAGCTTGTTGGCAGGATTCACTTCCTTTTGGCAAGATTGACGTCCAGGTCCCTGTCTTTTGTTTGTTTATTTGTTTTTGCCATCTTAAATTTTTTCCACTGTGGTAAAAAACATAAAATTGTCCATCTTAACCATTTTTAAGTGTGCAGTTCAGTAGTGTTAAGTGTACTCACACTTGTAAAACAGATCCCCAGAACTTTCCATCTCACAAATCTGAAATTCTGTACCCATTAAACAGCTCCCCCTTTCCCCTCTCCCTATCTCCTGGTAACGACCATTCTGCTTTCTCTCTCTATGAATTTGGTTACTTTAGCTACCTCATGTAAATGGAATCACACAGCATTTGTCTTTTTGTAACTGGCCTATTACGCGTTTGTCCTTGCTGGCCGTCAGCCTGGGGGCGCTCTCAGATCCTAGCTATATGTACCCCTCTTCCAGCCTAGCAGTGTACTTGTTCAAAGCCAGAAAGAGAATCTCTCACACTTTGAATCTTTCCCTCCATCTCCAGTTTGCTCTGACTGCGCCCTTCTTTAACAGAACATTATCACAGCACAGATTCCCATCACCTTTGTCATATAATGTAACCTAATTAAGGGAATGACCATCCCGTTAAATTCACAGCCTGCCCACCTTTGAGTGGAAGAGATTATACAGGATCTGTACAACCGAGTATGGGAATTTGCCGGGGGCAGGAGGGCATCTCAGAATTCTGCCTACAGGGGTACCTGAGTAGCTCAGTCGGTTAAGCATCTGCCTTCAGCTCAGGTCATGATCCCGGGGTCCTGGGATCGGGGCCGCGTCGGGCTCCCTGCTCAGCGGGGAGCCTGCTTCTCCCTCTACCTCTACTGTTCCCCTGCTTGTGCGCTCTCTCTCTCTCTCTAAAATAAATAAATAAAATCTTTAATAAAAAAAAAAAGACTTCTGCCTACCATGTAGGTGGAGAACGGGTTTGTAGATGGGGGGCAAGAGAAGCTGGAGACCGATTAGAAGGCATTCAAAATGTCTAAGCCATTGCTTCTCAAAATTTAATGTGTATATGAAACTTCTGGGGATCTGGTTAAAATTAGATTCTGACTTAGCAACGTTATGGTGGAGGCCTGATGCTCCCTAACAGTCTCCTAGGTGAGGGCAATGCTTGTGAGATAGCAAGACATAGACTCACAGGGACAGTGGCCTGGGCAAGGCTGGTAACAGTCGCGATGAGAAGTCATCTGATTAAGGATATTATTTGAAGGTAGACCCAAAAGGGCTTGCTGAGAAGGAACCAGAGGCATCGGGATGACTTTTACGTTCAGGGGATGACAGAGATCATAGGAGGAGTTTATTTCACGGCAGAAATCAAGTGTTTAGTGGCGGATATGCCAAATTAGAACCACACAGAGATGATCATGAAATGATGTGGGAAATAGGTTGATTAATCATATGCAGTGTTTCTAGACACTTTACAGTTTTTGTTGCACCATAACTGTGAGACTCTTCCTAAGGGTGCTTGAAATTTATTGCAGTGCATTAAAAAATTTAAGCAATACAAAGGGTCTTGCTGATTCATGCTGCATTCTCTCTGCTTCTCTTGCACTATTAGTGAAACAAGCCATGTTTTCTTTTCCACAGGCCAGTGTTCTTTACAGTGAAATTAACATATCGTTACTCAGATCATTAAAGCTGTTCCTAGAAGTCAAAATATGCACCCCTGGGCAAATTTAAAGCTCACTATATTCCAACACTCTCTAGGAATAGAGCTAGATTTTAAAATAAAATGAGTTTTCAGCACCTATTGATTTTGGTAGATGCCTCACAAGGAGATGAATTACCTAATTTTTCCTGGCTATCTAGGCCATTTCATGGTATGACTAATTATTATTTCATTCCTGAGCTAGATTATGCAAAGTTCGCTTTGTCACATTATGAGAGCTTTTCATGGAAGTCAAAATCTTCTCTGATGCCTTTATCTCAAAAACGAGATGGCATAGACTACGGTTGTTTGAGGATATGTTTACTTATAATTTCCTTAAACATTAACCATGTAAAATCTTGGCTTTACCCATACTCGTTTTCTGGGTTTTTTTAAAAGATTTTATTTATTTATTTGAGAGAGAGAGACAGAGAGAGCACGAGCAGTGGGGAGGGGAGGGGGGAAAGGGAGAAGCAGACTCCCTGCTTAGCCGGGAGCCTGAGGTGGAGCTTGATCCCAGGACCCTGAGATCGTTGACCAGAGCTGAAGGCAGACACTTAACTGACTGAGCCACCCAGGTGCCCCACCCGTACCCATTTTCTAAAAGAAGAGCTTTTCAAAGGGGGATAAGCCGAAAACTGTGCTGCCACCCTGCTCTTTCATGGGATGGCTGGAGACATGTAGAAAAAGAAAAGTTTAAGACCCTTAAATAAAACATACCTGTTCATAGTGTTGCTTGGACTCTAGCTAAGGTCATGTCCAATGACATAAGATTACAAGAGATGGTTCATGGTTTCAGGAGGTGTGAAATAAAGGCAGCACAGAGAAGCTTTGCTTCAAAGAACTGTGCATTCTGTGGAACAGGTGGAAATTCACTTCAGTGTAGGCAAAATCTTTACAGAAAGTCTTGTTTTCTGTTTCTCATTGTTAAGCAATAAAACCTGGTAGGCTTCAAGACCAAAAAAAAAAAAAAAAGTGAGAGAGAGGAGGAGATATTTCGGGGAGAGCATGGTGATTATGTTTTTATAAGTCAGACCCTGAGCAGATGACAGTTAAACCAGATCATTCAATGGCAGGGGTGACAGAGGTCTGAAGAGAACTAGCCCCATGGAGAAGGCTAAAGAAGTCAGAATTTAACACCTGCCATCTGGACGCCTTTCGCTCTGGTACCTGGGCTCGGACTAACTACCTAATAGGGCAGTGAGGCTTTCTGTTGATTTGGAAGAGTCTGATGGCTAAAGCAAAGCCATTGTTGAACCCTGAACTTCATGCGGCTTCTCTATAGGCCTCTTTTTATAGTGTATTACAGGAAAGCCCAGAACCCACACCTACGCACAGTTGTTTTATGAACTGATTCAAAGAGGTTCCCATTTTTTCTACTGTTGTATCTATTTTTATGTAACGTATGAACTACTTTATAATATAAAATGTAGCTTTTGCATAGTAATTTAAGCAACTAACTTCTTACTCTTTCCTTTCCCTAGGAGCACTGAATCAAAAAAACTGGGGAAAGAAATATCCAACATGCAGTAGCCCCAAACAGTCTCCTATCAATATTGATGAAGATCTTACCCAAGTCAATGTGAATCTTAAGAAACTTAAATTTCAGGGTTGGGATAAAACGTCTTTGGAAAACACATTCATTCATAACACTGGGAAAACAGGTAAAATGTTTGCATTTTGTTTGTGACTTCAATATGTTTATTGGGCTAAGAGTGTGTTTATATCAGTTTCATTTTATTTTCATTTCCTTCATTTTATTTCATTTCATTTTCTTTGTGTAATGTACTATGAACTGCCTAGAAACTATAGATAGAAGAAACCAAATAGAACCCAGTAAATCAGAAGTTTAGATAACATTTTGAAAATGTGTACAAAAATAAAATGACCGAAGTCATCACATCATGTTCTCCAATAATAGAACAATAATGACGCCTCCACAGAAGACGTGATAAAGATAATGCAGTATACAGCTTATGTCATTTAATAACTCCATCTCTGGTTAAATCACTTAGTTAATCAGAATTTCCTTTTCTTGGACACTGTATTGGCTCTTGTTTGCTTAGCTTCATGGCATGTTCAATATTGGGATACGAAAAAAGCAATCATCTGTAATTAAATTTTAAGAAAAGAAAATAGTAGTATTTCTATATAGAAAGTTTAAAATTATATACTCTCCTTAGGAAGCACTCTCTAACTGCATTTTTTAAAAGACTGTCTTTTTTTCTAAACAAGCAAAATATAATACCATAAAAAATTCTAGTAAACGGTAGAGGGACAAAATAGTTTTCGAAAGTGAACAGCTTTCCTTTTCTGATACTATAGTTTAAACAAAATTATATGTATTTCAGGAAGTTATATAATAAAAGCAAATATACTCATAGGAAAAAAATTTTCTAAATTATAATAGCAGCTATGTTGAGTGGTTTTATCAGTAGCGAGTTTTTTCTCTATTTTCAATATTTTGGTAATGCAATTATTTGAATGTAGTAATTTAATTTTAAGTCCCACGAGGGTAGGAATTTTTCTGTATCAGTTCCTGATATGTAATAAGCATTAGATGTTTCTTAATTAATGAATAATTAATAAAATTATTATATATTGTAAGATGTTAATTAAATACATAAAAGCATATTGCCCCAAATCATGACATTTTCATTACCAGTTTTGAAGGATGTTACAAAGAAGTAGAGCATGTAACCTCTGCTCTATTTTTCTTAGTGGAGTATGGTCAAGCACTTGATCTTTAGAGCCATGCTTTTTAAAGGGTCACTACTGGCTCTTTATTTTTTTTTAAGATTTTATTTATTTATTTGACAGAGAGAGACACAGTGAGAGAGGGAACACAAGCAGGGG